CGTTACTGCCCATCTCTGCTAATCAGTGTCAGTGCGCCCCAGGGCAACTGTGGCTACAATGTTGTTTCCCATCACCAGTGTGTGAATGTGTTTGTGAATGGGTGGACTGTATGTAGTGTAAAGCACTTTGGGGTCCTTAGGGCCTAAGTAAAGCGCTATACAAATACAGGCCATTTTCCATTTAATACACAGTCTGTGATTGCTTCACATTGTTAGTTTACTCTGCCTGTCTGTGGGTTTTTGTCCAACTTGGAGTGAACAAAAGCAGAAACAGTAAAAAACGTAAACTGTGAAAGTCTAGTTTATTTCATGAATACAAAAGAAAAACATTTACAGTCAGCAGAAAAAAGTAGCATACATGCATGATAAAATGGATACTGCTATATAACATGGACAGTCAGAGTAAAATTCATTGTCTTACCACTTAAGATATGTTTTAAACCTAAAAACAAAAACACATTGAAATTAGTTTCTGTATTTGCCTGTAAGTCTTGTATACAATGTGGAATGTTAAACCATGTTCAGCGGTCCCCAAGCCCCAGGCCATGGACCGGTACCAGTCCATGAGTTGTTTGGTACCGGGCCGCGAGAGTTGAGGCTTGGGCGTGAAATTTATGGTTTTCATTAACTCTCTTTGCCTGGGTCTTTTCCCCATGTTGTAGTTGTGTGTCTTATTTTGAAAGAAACATCTACATGTTACCATAGTGACCAGAGAGCATTAAGGGGCAGAGAGGAGGATGTTGCTCTCAATCTTGTGGGCGCATTTCCGGAGGAAGCTGCTAATAAAGTTACACGATTACACGGTGAATTCACGTTTATTATTTTATTTACAAAATTCCAGTGTTTCTCTTGGTCGTATCATTTTCTTTTGTTGTATTTATCCGCCTTAAAAGTCAGTCCATGAAAATATTGTCTGACATTAAACCAGTCCGTGGCGCAAAAAAGGCTGGGGACTGCTGCTGTAGATAGTTAATAAATCTGTTTATCTGTTTTTTCAGACCTCTGACCCTGAAACCAGAAGAGGATCTTTCTGTCTCTTCAGATTCATTGTGATCCAGTGATGGGAGTGATTTCATGATCACGCTGATGTTTGCTCAGAGCAGATAATGAAGTGAATGTTTTTGCACATTGGTAACAGTGAAACAATTTATTTGCAGCGTGGGATTGTTTGTGTTTGGAGTATGAACTGAGCTTACCGAACCTTTTGTCACACTGGTCACAGCTGAAGTTCCCTTCAATGTGTGTACGTTCATGATTGTTACGACTCCCTGAGTACGAGAAACTTCTGTCACAGTGTCTGCACTTGTATGGTTTCTCTCTTGTGTGGACTCGTTTGTGTCTATTAAGTTCACCTGCAGAGGTGTAGGATGACCCACACTGGTCACAGACGTGCTTTTTAACCCCACTGTGACAAAGTTCATGGTTTTTTAATTCACTTATAGTGGGGAAGCCGCTGCCACATTCTTTGCAGTAGTTCATTTTGTCTCCAGTGTGTCTACGTTGATGTATTTTTAGGGTGTTTGAATGACTGAAAGTTTTTCCACAAAGGTCACAGCGAAACTCTTTCCCACCACCACAGTGACGACAGGGTTGAGAACTGGATCCATCTGTGTCGCTCTGCTTCTAAACAAAGACACAAACACAGTAAGTCAGTCCTTCAACATTTTAATCCAGAATGAAGCTTGAAATAAAGAGCATCTTTGCCAACATCCAGTTACATTTTACTGTCACAGTGAAACTATACACACAGCTTGGTTGCATTGATAGAGAAGCCACGCCACTGAAGCAGCTCAGCGCCTTCGTGAACGAGGTGCAGCGAACAAATACTGTCAAATACTGCGCGAGTCATGGCACCACTTACCTCAACATCCAGTTGTGAAAGCTGCATCAACCTGAGCCAAAAAGTGATCGAGCTGGAACAAAGGATATCAGAAGGCAGAGGGATAGGCCATTTCAGCCGTCTGCTCAGCCTTAACACCTGGCTTTCCTCCCCTTGTGTCTCCCATAGTGTGGGTTTTATTAACAATTTTGATGCCTTCTGGGAGAGGAGGCATCTTTTTGGGGCAGACGGGCTCCACCTCAACGCCTGGGGACGCCGTCTGCTGTCCGCCAATTTACCATTTGGCGTACAGCACTCCCGCACACCGCCCTGTCATTACTCAAACCGACATTACCTGCTGATCTATCCGCCACTGACTGATGTCCCCCTGGTCCCAGCTCCTATATCTGTTCAACTTTTAACAGTAATACACAAAAACTCTGGACTCGGACCTCTCTCTCCCACAGTCAACATAATACCCGTCATAATCACAAACAGAGAGCAACAGAATTATCATAAATCCAGTAACTCCAAAAACATTAATAACCTCCGGCCTCTTCAAAAATGTCAACATGCCAACCTCTGGATGTCGGCTCCTACCTCAAAGCACACTGTGTTCTGTTGATCTTATGTGCTGCACAATAATGTTTAATATTTTGTTTTTATTGTTATATTCCCATAGATCATCATCCTGTTGTTTATTCTATCTTCTACTTGTTTTCTTTCTCAACGGGTGATCCAGGTGATTGATATATGTATTTTTTGTCTGCTTATTTTGTTGGTTTTTGTTTTTTTGCCCTTTATCCTTGTCCCTCTTCTCTGCTGTTTTTCCCTCTTTCTTTCTCCCCTTTCTCTTCCTCAGTCAAGTCTGTCCTGTATTTAGCAAGTGAAAATAAAAAATAAAATAAACAATAAAAGGTGAATCAAACAGACCATTACGGCAAAGCTGGGATGGTCCATTTGGTAAAGTAAATCTGTTGGGCATCTTTCTTTGCCTTTAGACAATAATTCTGATGGCAAAAGAGCCAAACGGGACAGGCAAAAAAAAGAGAGTGTGGGGAGTGAGTTGGAGGGTGGGGTGGGCTGCTTTTAACCATGTAAAGCACTTTGTGCTACATTTCTGTATGAAAAGTGCTTTATAAATAAAGATTGATTGATTGGTTGACACTTTGAGGACATGTAAATAAAACTAACAGACTATTAAAGTAAGTTGATTCTGAATGTGTGGTAGGACGCACTGATTGCTTTTATTTAGATGACCCTCCTGTACAATATATATTTTTAAATGTATTTTGCCATGTATGAAACTTGCAAGTGGGTAACAAGAGGGGGCCATGTGAGAGTCAAGTGACCAGGGACTGAGACTCCACTGAGGGTGAAGCCAAAACTAAAGCCAGATGTCTGGCGGCACATAAAGTCAAAATCAAATTCAGTCTAAACTAATTGGATCGGGACCTTGTGAATCAGAACTGAATGAGTTTTAGAAATCAGTGACAATGCCCAGCCCTATTGTCTGTGAAGGTTTTCCCAGATTTTAAAGCCCTAAGGGTTTAAAAACGTTGAGACTCTCTACCAAATCAAGTGAATTAAATTGGGACCTTGTGAATGGAACTAATTGTTCTAAAGACTGAAGAAGTTTCTCGGATGAGAGGTGAAACGTCTTCAAGAAACTTAAAGAAGGCCGAATGCTTTTCTTTACAAGCTCCTTAGACTACCCATCCCTATAATCTACATGAAGGTTGAGGTTGGAAAATTACAAATAATTTAAACAATGCTTCAAAAAAAATGCAACTGTACCTCAAACATGGATACCAAGTAACAGTAATCATCGTTTTAGTAAGATGACTTATTATGTTCTTTGCGGACATCCAGTCGATGCCTTTGCATCCAGTGGAATTACTAACATGCTAACACAATTTAATTAACAGAGTTGTTCCAAACACTCAGTCTAAAATAAGAAGATAATAATATAAATAAATACCTCACAGTAACTGCACTTGTAGAGTTTCTTTCTGGTGTGGATCTGTTGGTGAGATTTCAGGGAACGTGGCTCTTTAAAAGCCTTATCACAGAGGTCACATTTATAAGGTCTCTCCTCATTGTGGGTAAACATGTGGCGTTGTAACTGTGCATCTGTTGTAAACAGTTTCCCACACTGAACACAGCAGCAAACATCATGTCCAGTGTGAATCCGTTGGTGAATATTTCGGGTCCCTAGCCGACTGAAAGTGTCTCCACAAATGTCACATCTATACGCTTTGATTCCAGAGTGGGTAACTCGATGACGTTTTAAGGTGCAACTGAGAGCAAAAGATTTACCACACTGATCACAGCTGTACGCTTTAACTCCACTGTGGATGAGTTGGTGTGTTTTTAAGTGTCCAAGTTGGGTGAAAGATTTTTCACACAAGTCACAGCTGTATGCTTTAACTCCACTGTGGATGAGTTGGTGTGCTCTCAGGTGTTTAGCCTTGATAAAACCCTTCCCACAATCGTCACAGGTGTGTTTCTTCTCTCCCTTTCTTCTGTGAGGTTTGTCGGCCTCCTGAGAGCGCTGACTTCTCGCTCCACGTTGGTCCTGCAGTGACAGAGAAACAAACAGAGGCAGTGAGTGAAATGCAGTCGTGGAACAAACTGAAACTCCATAACGTGCACACAGGTTCAATAACAGAGATATTCTTACTCACCTTTTGGGTTGAAGTCATTGTTTCCTCTGTAGTGGCTGAGCTGAGTCTAAATGGCTCGTCTCCTCCTGATGATCAGCTGGAACACAAAACATATTTATATGTGTTAGAGTATTTTAAGCTTTTATTGTCATGAAATGTAACTGAGTGATATACTGATAAGTGTTTAATATTTCTGCTTATGCAAACGTCTTTCTATCATGAACTCTCTGAACAGTGGGCCACCACTGTTCGAGGAGATCACAAGAGATGTGTGCAAATATAACCATCCTTGCAAGAGCTAATTTCTTTAAGCATATTCTAGGTGTCAGCACATAGCAACAGAAGGTTTGCCATAGATAGCGTACAAAGCATTAACCACAATAAGTTGTGAAAACCAGCTGTTATTGTTAGATTAAGTTCCAGGAACTGCATGTTCTCCACCCACGAGTGAAGGGCGTGCAGCTAAGTTCCTGTTTTATCTGTGTGTTTCACCATGTACCATGAAGTATAAATAAAGACGTAAGACCAGTGCGGGGTGTGAGTATCTGTTGAACTCTCACCCGTGCACGTTAAACTGTTGAAGTGTCTGAGTGTCGTTTCGTCACCCGAGTGTTTTGATAATTGTTTAATCCCTGACAATATGTATTCCACCCGTGACAAAAAGAAGCTGAGATGGAAAGCTCGAATCCACTCAAACTGAATGTCTTCAGTCAGTGTGTCAGCCTCCAGTTAACAATGACAGTGAGAAACTGCACTACTGAACCTCCACCAACTGAGTAACTGCAGTTTGGTGCTTCATTTGAACCTCATAGATTTTATTAAACAAAATGTATAGAAAACTCTACAAAACAGAACAGCATGCAGGGAGCAGACTCTTCGCTGTCATTTTTTGTTGCGCATAAGAATCCACATGTTCCTCTTGTTATAAGATTAGCAGGACTGCTCACTTATGCTTTTTACATGTTGGTCTGTTAAAAGGTCACGCCATAAATGGAGTGACTGGAAATGTAGTTAAAAGGTCAGAGCCATATAATATATGCCAGCATTTAGGGTCCTTTCCACAACACCACACGATTGCTGCCACAACCGTGACACCACCATTCAATACCCAACAGGATTAAAAACATAATTCTTCCCCCAAATCACCAAGAGCTGCACATTAACCACCACCATTTATTTTAATTCTCAGTGCTTTCAAACATGAACTTTCATCTCTGTTTCATTAGCTTTTGTTAACATCTGTTGTTAACATCGGGGCGATCGTGGCTCAAGAGTTGGCAGTTCGTCTTGTAATCGGAAGGTTGCTGGTTCAAGCCCCGGCTACGACAGTCTCGGTTGTTGTGTCCTTGGGCAAGACACTTCACCCATTGTGTTCAGAGGGCCCGGTGGCGACAGTGTCCGACAGCCTCGCCTCTGTAGCTTGCCATCACCAGTGTGTGGGTGACTGAATGTGTAAAGCGCTATACAAATACAGGCCATTTACCATCTTCCTGTGCATCACTTTACAGCAGCCAGACTCATTAAAATGAGACTGTAGGAGTTTACAGCCTCTCATGTGTTCATCCACAGCAGCTGGACTATACAATTTATTGTGACCCTGATACTGCAGCAGATCGCTCTGATTTCCTGTTATCACTTCAAACACTCTCTCGCTCTTCTCTCAACGTGTTCACAATAAACGTGTTCACAGACACCGAGGAGAGCAGCAGAAGACCTCATTCAGGAGCTAAACTCAACATGAACTGAACTCACAGTAAAGTTAGCTCGGTGCTTACCTTTAGATGAGCCCACAAACCGAGAGAAACTCCGCGATGAAGCTGCAACTCTTTCCAAACACAGGAAAC